CTCCTATGTAGCACACCAGGGCTCCTTTTCCTCTATGACCACTCCCCCTCCTGCACCATCATGGTATGACCCCTCTCAGTGGGGTTACTTTGAAGGATCGAGTTCCGATGGTGGAGGCGATGATGGTGGTTATGGTGGGGATCACATGGATGAGGACAGACACCAAGGTGGAGGTCTAGGCGGGCACTAGGGACAGTGCCAGATACTAAGTGTGGGGGTGCAGAGATTGTTCTGGTATGCTCACAATCCTACTCTTTTTCATTTAATTTTATTAAAAAAAAGAGCTTGTTGAGTTGAAAACCCACAAAGGGCAACTCAAGCAAAAATTAAAGCAATAAAATAAAGAGTGAGGTTGTGAGAATTAAAAGAAAAATGTGGGAAGCTGGGATGAAAACCTGAAAGGGCACCTAGGCAAAACGAGAGAATGAGAGAAATGTCTAATTTGCAGGATCCTGAAGGTGATAAGTTTAAAAGAAAAATGGAGATAAAGATGAAGTTGAAGACCCCGTTTTACTTTAATTACTGTTGGGGATGCTTTATATTGTGGTAAAAACACTCTTGGATGTTTTGTGTTGATATTCTTGTCATTTTTAAAAGGACTTCTTGGATTTGATTTGATTTACTCGAGACGTGTAAAGGTTTAAGTGTGGGGGTGTTTGATGCACACTAATTAGTAGTGCATAATTGTATGTTTTTATGTTTCAGTGATGGTGATTGTTTGACGTTTTATTTAGTTTGTAAACATTTGTGTGATTTTAGTTGTAATTGTATTTTAGTTCTCATTTGTAAGTTGTAAAGTAGAATTAGGAATTAGGATGTTGGAAAGGAGGATGTTGAAGTGAAGAAAAAGGAATTAGGATGTTGGAAAGGAGGAGTTAGAAAGATTAAATGCTACTATTAAATCGGTATAAGGCGTTGTTCTATATTTGATTAATAGTAAGGGTTATTAATGAACGGTCGTTGTTAATAACTACCCTCGATGAAGTGGATATACTCCCCGATTGAGTTTTCGAGAGGGAATAAGTTATAGATATGACGATGATCGACTAAAATATATCAAAAAGTGGAAAGTAGCAATGCCAAGTCCTTTTTATCTCTGAAATAAACACATATAGGTTGTTCATCTTAGTTTTTAAATTAAATCATTCAATCTCAAAAAAACCCCTTTATTTACTAGTTCGTAAAAAGAGAATTATTCCTTTCCCTGTGGATACGAACTCTACTACGCTATACTACGTATTAGCACAAGTATTGTATTTATTTTGACGCACCGTGACAAAGTGCTCGTCACGTGCACTTGTCGTGAGGTACACTCAAAATAATTACAATACAACGATTATACGTAGTATAACGAAGTAAGGTTCGTATCCACAGGGAAAGGAAAACTTTTCTTTTATATAAGTAGTAACAAGGGGGGGGGGGGGGGGGGGGGGGGTTAGATTTGTTTGATTTAAAAATACTAAGATGAACAACCTATATGAGTTTAATTAATAGATATGGAGGCTTGGTTTTGCTTTTATCCACTTAATGAAATGTTCGTCGATCCCGGTTATATCTTTAACTATCTTCCTCTCGAATACTCAATCGAGGAGTATATCCAGTTCATCGAGGGTAGTTATTAATAACGAGATGCGTTCATTAATAAAACTTACTATCGAGTCAATACAGAACAAGCGCCGTATAATAACTTGATAGTGGCAATAAACTTAAGATGAAAATGATTGATATTGATAACCTCAACACAAGCGGTTTATTTGTTTAATCAATATAATTAATTCCCCTTGGCATATTTACCATGAGATGCATGCATTAATAATCCAAGTTTACTACTGTTGAAGGAATCGGATTAATAACAAGCGTATTAACCGATTGATTCTAGTAATAATTAATATGAGAAACAAAACTAGTTGATACTTTAAATGATGTTCAAAATATTAACATGAAATATGAATAGGAATTAAATAATACTCAAGGAAGAATATTAATGAAAATAACTCGCAACTTACAAATTCATCAAGCCTCAAAGTAGCAAAACCAAGATGGAAGAGTTTAGCTCCTCATTTGGAAACTAAACATGATGAAAAATATAAAGAAAGAACTATTCTAGACTGAGCTTAGATGTATAAAGGAATTGGATATCCGATTGTGAAGGAAAGGAGGTGTATTTATAGGCTTTGAGGATGCAGCTCGGGTACCCGATCGGGTATATACAAGGTACCCGATCGGGTATGTGTAATACCTTCAATTCGAGGTATACTCAATCGATCATTGCCTAAATTTTATAAGCATACCCGATCGAGTATACCTTTATATATACCCAGTCGAATATGCTTATAACTTCAGATTCGGGGCATATTCGACCGAGTTCGGGTTTGTATTTGAAGGGATACCCGATCGGGTGTGTCGGTGTACCCGATCGGGTATGGACATTTGCTCATGGTCCGAATCTTCTCCGCATGATCCTTTGTCTTCGGATGTGATTCGATTTGAAATTTCAACAAGATACCCGATCGAGTATAGGTCATACTCGACTGGGTTTAGACAAAAAATTCAGGATCTTCTTTCTTTTTGATTTTTTGCTCCTTTCTTCCACTTTTTGGGGTTCACCAACAGTCCTTTGAGTTGATCAAGACCTGTTTGAGCTCAGAATAAACCTAATCTAAACAATTTACAAGAATTTAACAAACTAAACTATTACACCAAAAGTGTGTAATTTCCAAAGTAAAAATAAATCAAAACTAACTAAAAACACAAACATACAAATGGAAATTACAAGCGTATCACAGAGCATTCGACGTATGAACCAAAAAAGAAAGTGGGTCATGTGACTCCAAGTGAAATTAGAAGATGAAAAACATTCTGAAAGGTATATATATAGCCGTTGTGCTAATATTTTCTACGCTTCTTATACCTTGGGTGTATTTTGTTCAAGGATTTCAGAAAGGTGGATCGATTTTTTTGCAAATACTACCTCCGTCTCTTAAAATTTTGTCAAACTTGACCGGCACGGAGAATAATAAAGTAAAAATTGTGTGGTTGAGGTTTGTGTAGAGGAGAGAGAAATAACAGAAACCACAAAATAATTGATTAAAAGGGAAAGTGACAAAATTTTTGGGGACATCTCAAAAAGGAAAGATGGCAAAGCTTTAAGGGACGAAGGGAGTATATCTTTTGTTTGTAGTCTTAAGTTAATGAAAGTTCAGTGATGGAGTTGCTGCTCAAGCATCCATACTCAAGGTAATTTCCTTGTATGCATATTTGTTGTTTTAATCGTTTAACTCTTCTAATGGTACGGGTGTGTCTTTATCTTTATTGCTTGTGGTGCATCGTCAAAGATAAAGTGTTCCTTATTCAGTTCCTAATTTCATAGTCGCCAAGTTTCCTTAATCAGGATTCAGGAGTAAGATTTTAAAAGGGAACTTCAACACTGATTTTCATTTATGGGTTCTTGCATATTATATTTGTTGAGCGTTTTCCTTATCTTTTAATCAAGTCAATATTCTCCCATTCTGCATGGGTACTATAGAATAATGTTTTATTTTACATTACACTTGCTTAGGATGTTTTCTTTGGACTGTTTTCAGTCCCAGACCAGACCAGATCAGACCAGACTTCCATAGATATAAAATACACAGGGATCACATATTTACCAGATCAGATCAGACCAAACCCACAAATTTCAGTCCAAAAGAAAACATCCTTAATCTTACACTCTTGGCCAGTTCACCCTAATGAAAATCATATATACATTGTAACATACATTCTCAACTTCCAGTGAGGAATTACACACCGACTGAGGTTCTCTTTAGTTTCCTGATATATCAGTGGTAAATACTCTTCTATACTTATATATATATATATATATATATATATATATATATATATATATATATATATATATATAATTAGGTTCAAGTGAGAAAATGATCTTAGGAGAGAAATGAGAATGAATCTGGATCCTTAGATTGTATTCTTTGAAATTGAATGTGCATTAAGTGAAACTGAAATGACATTAGGTGAAATCGAAATGTGCAGCACAAAATGTAAGGCATAGTGGTATTATGTGAAGCTGAATTGTGCATTATAAAAAACTAAAATGTGCACTACGTGAAACTGAAACGTGCAGAATAAAAACTAGGATGCAGTGGCATTTTTGTGCCTTTTATTCTGCACATTTCAATTTCATGTAATGCACATTTGAGTTTTATTTTTCATTCTGCACATTTCAATTTCACGTAATGCACATTTCAATTTTACCAAATGCACAATTCAATTTCATATAATACAATCCAACGGTCTAGATTCATTCTCATTTCTCTCATGGGAGTCCTTTCTCACCGGAACCACTCTCTATATATATATGTGTGTGTGTGTAATATAGTATGTCAGTGTAGTGTTCCATTTTAGTGATTTAAAGTCAAGCATGAGTTCAAGTTGCTTACTTTTCATCACACTTTTCAAGACCTCTCAATTTAACTTTATAAAGATTGTTAACTGTACTGATGCATATAGTTAATGGTTATATGAAAATTCTATATATGGTGCCTTAGTTAATTTAGAATGCACCGGTACACAATTTGTGTAAGGCAATCAAACTATGTCACATCACCATTTGGAAGAGTGGAGGTTGAAGAGGAGGTAGAAAATTTACAAGTGCCATTTTTTAGTGGAGTATTCAATATAATGCACAGGTACACTTGCAAATAAGGCATGTACCATAGAAAGACCCTAAAAGAAAAACACACGTAGCTTTTTTTGTGTGGCTCAAAGCATTAATACTTTTACACATATTTTCTCCATTTATAAACAAAGCAAACCCATGTACAAAAGAGTGGTTACAAACCCACACCATGAACCCACTCACCCACTATGCACAACACATGCATGACCATGCTTGCAATGTTTAATTCCACAAATTAATTAAACATGCATGCAATTAATTAATTGATCAACTCATGCAAATTAGACTAACACTAATGCAACGGCAAATACGCACATCAGTACCGTTACAACACATGGACGGTGTCACGCGACGAACACTACTTGACATGACTCATCCTGCCGTGCACTCACACTCTAGTCTAATATACATTTATGACTCAAAATAAACTAAAATAAACATGATGAAATTCTAAACAACAAGGTTAATTGACTTAATTCCAACGGCCTGCACAAGCTAGTAAGTAGATATGCTTGGACTGCATATGTGTCCGTATAGCAAGTTTTAATTATAAAACAAAAGCAATATGAACGGATTATTATGGAATAAAGTTCATGCCCAAAGGCCCCAAACCATCAAGGAGAATAATAGGTAGAGGATGAGATAATAATAGGTCGATCACTGCAAGGGATTATAATAGTTGTTGATGGGCAGGCGGCGGTAAAGCTTGATAGGCGCAAGGAGCAGACTTCTCATGTATCTGGAATTCCACACCACTGGATGAGAAAGAAGACAAAAGACAATCACGAAATTGAATCCTGTCCCAAGCGAGTGCAATAACAGTTGGGCCAAGGTGATGAAGATGATAGCGATCGCCGTAAAATATGGGTTCTTCCAAGTCAGTATATTCTGAAACCTTTCCGCTTGATTTGCAAGGTCGCCCACAAGGTTCTGAACATATGCAGCCCGAAGCCTCAGATTGTCGTATCTCTTCTTAACCACCTCCGGCTTCCGGCTCGTCTCGCGCGTGTCTCCTTCCTCGTCAAGATCGTCCGGTTGTGTATTCTTATGGTCACGATCAAACAAACAAACAAATAAACAAACAAAATTGAAATATCACTAATCATAGGACTTACCATCCGGTATTTTATTTCTGAGTATAACAAGTAACTTAATAATCCGGGCTTCATTTCTTAAAATAAGGAGACAAATATTTTTAGTTTCCTCAAAAAATATGCACAAATAAGATGGTGGTTGTTCCCCCCTAAAATGTGGCACATCAGCTCCCCTAAAATGGAGACGTTTTATGCTTTTCACAGAATCAAATAACTCATATTTTGATAGTAAAACATACTCCCTCTGTCGGTCGATCCCATAAAATAGTTCCCACTTTGAATTGGACCGAAGTTCAAGAAAGAGAGAATAACGTAGAAATGTATGATTGTACTTCTGTTAGAAAAAGGTAAATGAATGGTAGAAATACAAACCTTGTTCAAAAGGGAAATGTGAACTATTTTTTAGGACAACTCAAAAAGGAAAGAAAGATCTATTTTATGGGAAGGGGGAATAGTTACTACTACATTCGTTTCTTACTGGCCGTCTTATTTTGATTTGACAAAATATTAATATTCTCTTTCCCACTTTTCTCTTTCCAATAATCTGAACTAGCAATAGTGATCATAAGAATAAATAGTAATTGTCCTATATAGGACTAAAAAAGAAGAGAAATTCTCAAATAAGATCATGTATGTTTTTTTCCCCAAATAGGATCGATTTACTCCTATTTTAAAACATCCGCATATTTCATTCCATTATTACCCTCTATCCCTTTACGCACATCTCCCCAACCGCTTCCCCTTCTCTCCTGCGCACATCCCTCTCTCTCTTTCTTGGTTCCTTGCGCATCATCATCGGCTTCATCCAAGCCATTGTCGCCGCCTCCATCGACTTCGCCCTGTGCACAAGATCGACCGCTTTCCTCTCACGCCATCGATTTTGCCGCTGCCATTAAGGTTCTTCTTCTCCTTCTTCCTCTTCTTCCTCTTCCTCTTCCTCTTCGATTTTCCTCTGTTTTTTTGGATTTTGAATTTTCTTCTTCTTCCTCTTCCTCTTCGATTTTTCTCTGTTGTTTTGGATTTTGAATTGAATTTTCCAATTTTCGGGCTTCTGTTTTGATTTTTTGATTTCTAGTTTCTGAGTTTTAAAACAAATTTTGATTTTCAACATTTTGGATGATTGTTTCGGATTTGGCCAAGTTTATGGCAGAAATGTGTCCATTAACATCATATTATGGCAGAAATGCTTTTGTATAAAGTGTTTTTTTGTCAATAGCTTCGTTTTTCTAATTTGCTATTGTGCTAAGAAAATTATTCCACTAAAAAATTTAGTTGTTTGAATATTTGGTTATTTATTTCATGTTTTTTCATTTTTTGTCAAATTTATGGCATTTTTGTATTAATATTTCAACATGAATCTGCCAACTTTTTGGCAGATCTGAAACTCTTGTGTTATGGAAGATGTAGATCTAATCCACAACTCTAAATCTGCCAACATAAAGGCAAATTTATTCCGCTTGAGTTGTCGTGTTCAGAGGATGGCGGTGGTGGTGGATGGCGACGCCGATCAATTTAGTTGTTTGAATATTTGGTTATTTATTTCATGTTTTTTCACTTTTTGTCAAATTTATGTCATTTTTGTGTTAATATTTCAACATGAATCTGTCAACTCTTTGACAGATCTGAAACTCTTGTGTTATGCCATGGACGGTGTCGCCAGTGTGGGAAGCGGCGGCGATCAGGGGGCGGCGATGAGTGGAAATGATGGGCCGTCAAGGATGCGGCAGCAGGCGGCAACGGGCGGCAACGGGCGGCACATTCACCGGCGAGGGCGGCGACGGGCGGCACATTCACCGGCGAGGGCGGCGACAGACGGTGTCGTCTCCGGTGAGGGCGGAGGCAGGATCCGGCGGCGGGCGATGTGGCTCTGGCGGTGGCAGTGTCACTGCTAGGGTTTCAATAGTTTTTAATTTTACATTTTTAAAATTTAAAATATTAGAAGAGGGGTATTTTAGTCTACTACTCTGAAAATGGTCCTATGAAACATATGGTTCGTTTATAGTCCTAAATGGACAATTAACTTTGCTATTAGTCCTATTTGAGGCATTAACTCAAGAATAAATTGAAGAGAGTATTCAAATTATTGCCCGTTTAATACTCCCAACCTCTACTCCCACTTTTCTCTTTCCCGACCTTCTTTTCGTGGGGAATTCAAACTATAACCAGTTTAATCTGAACGTCATTTCCGCCATATTTGCTTCTCTCTATGTTGGAAGATAGAAGTATTAATAGAGACGAAGAGTGATGAATGATAAAGTGGAGGTAGGAGTTGGGAGTTTTAAATGGGCATTAGTTTCAAATCAATTCAATTAATTCTTGTGGACACTATCACTAGTTCAGATGATTTTTATGAACAATCTCAGTAGAGATTAAAGGAATGTAAGACAACTAAAATGGTATGGATAGAGTATGAGTCCGCTTGGTAACATTGAAATTAGCAGAATCGACTATTTATGTTGAAATTTATGAAGTTCTGGATGGAATGTTTGATTTTGGTGAATTATGAAAACATTACATGTAAAATATACTATATTAACTTTTAACATAATTAAAGAAAAACTTATATGAAAAAAAGCCAAAATAGACATGTATATATTGGACAAATTCGGTTAGAAAAGTAAATAATCACACCTATTACCTATAGTTACTTACTTTGATTATTACCTAATTGAACAAATAGAATCAAATCTTACATATTTCAATTAAAGAGCGGGTAGCTAGTTACGTACGTACCTGGAGTTGAGCTATGTAAAGGAGGGGCGGTTCCTCCCGTTTTGGTTTCTGAGGGGATTCTGACCACATCCGCACGAGGAGATTATAAAATCCACAATAGATAAAGTAGGCTAGGGCGACCGGGAAGATGAGGTCTGGGTAAAAGAGGAAGAAGAAAAGGAGCTCGAGAGAGAGCAGTGTGGTGATGGGGCTTTTCCAGCTGGCGACGTGGCCCACAAACTGGAACAGTGCCCGTAAACCCGAGGCGCGGTAGAGGCGGGCTATGTTCGTGTCCGTCACCCGCTTGCTGTAGCCGGCCTGCTCCGGCGTGGTCATGAATCTCACCACATTCTCCCCCAGTGGGGGAACCCGCCTCCCCAGATCCTTGCACTCCATGTCCACGGCGTATTTCCGCAGGTCTGCCATCTGCTCGAGCGGGATCGGTCTTTCGTAGTGCGCGGGCGGGAGAAGAGGGCGCAAGGAAGCGGAGATGAAACCCAACATGCTTCGAGGAGTGAGCCTGACCTGCAACTGCAACTCGCCCATTATCCTTACCTGCTGGCCCAACTCAGGATGCGTGGCGTAGAGCGGATAAGACTTGATCCGCTTCTTGCCGTCGAAAACCAGGGTGGAAACGGGAACCCTAACCCTGCCGATGTTCTTGTCCCCCTCCTTCTTCCCACTGCTCGCCACCAACTGGTTGTTGTCGAACACGCCGACGGTGAGAACTGTGTTCGGGTCGTAGACTTCCCAAGTGTAGACCTCATTGAAGTGGGCGGTTGCACCGCTGCCGATGACCGTACGTGTCCTGCACCACTTCCTGCCATACCTGCAGGCGCGGACCTACGCTTGTTTAAGTGTTCATATTAACATTCAAATATTTTAATAAAAATGCATGTATATCAGTATAAAAGTGCTAGCGCGAGTGGAGGACCTTAGGGGGGCTAGTTGGGGGGCATGTGCCCCGCTTCGGGCCCGAAAATTCGTTAGTAGCGTAAAAACCAGTTTCCCCGCTTCCGGCCCGAAAATTCGCTAGTAGCGTAAAAATCAGTGTCTCCGCTTCGGACCCGAAGTTTTTATTATAAACTACTCCCTCCGTCCCATAAAATAAGTCTCATTTCAATTCGGATCGGAGTTTAAGAAAGTGGGAATAAAGTGGAAAATGTATGGTTGTGGTTGAGTAAGAAAAAGGTAAATGAATGTTAGGCACACAAAATTTTCCAAAAAGGGAAATGAGAACAATTTTTTGGTACGTTCCAAAAAGGAAAATGAGTTTTATTTTATGGTAAGGAGGGAGTAAATTTATTGTATAGTGTGTCACACTATCGCAAATCTCTAGGTCCTCCGCTGGTTAGTCCTAATATTAATGTTTAAGATCCGCCACTCCGTACCTGGCCACGCAGTAGGGGTCCGTCGTTGGGGCGTTGTTACGTTCTTTGGTGAGAACGAGGCCCGTCACATGAAGTACATACACTTCTAGATGCGCTATCGCGGTCGGCAGGGTTTCCCCCGGTCCGTAGGCCGTGGGGAGACGATCACTTGTGCAAGAATCCAGGTCATCAAACACGTGGTAGGTTTTGTCCACCACCATCATCACTGATAGTTTAAGCCCGGGGTCCTTGTCGCCATTTTTAATTAGCTTGAGCTCCTTGTGCAACGCCATTTTATTCGGGTCTACGGGGACGACGACGCTTCCCAACTCATCGTACTTCTTGGTGCCATCGGCGGGGGTAGGTTTAGGGACCTTCACCATGAGGGTGAGCTTGTCGTGGTTGGCCTCCATGGGGTCGCTCACGACGAAGAAGAGCCTATGGGGAATGTAGTGGCACTCTGCAGGGTTGCTGTTTGGGGGGAGTTCATATGGAGTCCTATTATCAGCGGCTGCTCGTGGGGTAGGGTAGTGTAAGGGCTGGGTCCACATCTCCTGGTGCCCTAGCTTGCCTACCACGTAGTAGAACGCAGCCGGGACTAGCGGAGGAATTGGGGCGGGGCAGCCGCCTTTAATTTTAGACGCCGCAGGAAACGGGGATCTCCAGAGATATCCAAGCATGACAGTGTAGTAAGCCAACTTTGGTTGGGTGTAGACCTTGTGCGGAAGGGACGGGTGTGCGGCGTTGATTTGGACGGCGGGGGCAGGAGAAGACGGCAAGGTTGCTTGAACGGCTCCTTCCCAATTCTTCGCGTGATCACGCGACGAGTACCACACACAAATCATCAAATGTTTGCGGGTTTTGTCGGTGCCGGTGATGCAGTGCGGACTTCTCGTCACATTTTCGCCGGGGTTGATGACGATGATGTCGAACTTCTGACAAACCAGCTGCGTGGAGCCCACCTCTTTTTTGTCTTTACCTGCCGTCACCTTCACCTTGAATTCCCATGAGCTCTGGACTATGTTGTCAGGAAACCAGACCAGCACCGCCTTCGCCGCTTTGTCGCCGTCCACGAGCTTGCCCCTCCCCACGTGCTCGCCCACCTTCACCTCCACTGTAACATCCACTAAATCTTTAGGAAAATCCACTCCCCTCTCCAGTTGAACGTACGTCAGCAGCGACTGCTTTTCTGCTTGCACCCGTCCTCCGCCACCTTGAATATTGCCAGCCATTCTAAATCGTATAAAATTGAAAATAACATTTATAAATATATGAATTCATTAATTTAATCTAACATTAAAAAAATATATCCAAAGAAAAGTAGCAGAGAAAAAAATTGGGCGACTGATGTGCTTATATTTTACACACTTTTTAGACTTAGTTTGTTGATAATTTTAGTTATTAAAGTTGTACTTTTGTACACATTTTTATTATTTGTCGTTAATTTGTATTAGTGCAGTCCTATCCTATGCGTGTATTTTGTATTTTCTGGTACATTTGATGTTATTTGGATGCATTTAGCTTGAAGAAATTAAGAAAATAAAAGTTCATGTTGGAGGATAACAAAAGTGAAATTTCCTTCAAAGAAAACTAGTTACTCCACCCGTGCGCTGCACGGGAGTGAGACACCCACATAATAATTTAGATATAATTATATATTTAAAAATATTTAAAAAATATGATTGTATTAAAATTAATTGAAAACATTAAATAAATTCTGAATAAATGGTAAGAACTAAATGTAAAACATCACACGATGAAATGGATGTTCATTTAAGTCCATCACACTATAACGAAAATTATAAATTACTCAATAGTACACATTTCTTTGTAAACAACATTCAATGTTGATTTGGTTGTTTGTCCATCTTCGTCATTACAAACTTCAATCCCATGAACTTGTTACTCTCCACACCGCCACATACAAATGTTTGCGGGTAATAATGGGGCTTCAGAGTAAGATGACAACTTTTTTTCAACGATTGTCCGTGACTCTTATTAATGGCCATGCAAACCTAACAATTTTAGGCGGAGAATGCTTAGGCGGGAAAATTTTCTCTCTCCAGTGTAGTGTTTTTAGGTATACGATGATGATGATGATTGTTTTTTGCGGAAAGTGAAATTACATTTTGGGATCTTAGGTGGGGAATGCTTAGGCGGGAGTGTAGTGTTTTTAGGTATATGATGATGATTATTGTTTTTTGCGGAAAGTGAAATTACATTTTAGGATCTTATGCGGAGAATGCTTAGGCGGAAAGATTTTCTCTCTCCAGTGTAGTGCTTTTAGGTATATATATATATATATATATATATATATATATATATATATATATATATATATATATATATATATATATATATATATAATGATAAGGAGTAAATTGAAGAAAAGTAGCAAAACTTAAAAAAGGTGGAGCCAAGATTCAAGCTCTAGTCATTTCGGCAAAGAAGAAGATACTCAACCAATGAGCTAAATGAACCAAGTTGAAATTTTTGTTGGAAATTCGTATACATTGTTTAAGCTTAGCACCAAAAAAGGAATAAAAAGAAGATTCCGAGTTTGGAGCCCACGACCTCATATTTAGAATAAGCACCCATCACCGCTGCACTACTCAATTCTTTTGGTTCTAAGGTCGTTTTTTGTTTAAATATACATTGAATAATTTATTTTATATAATATATATAATATATAGGTATTTTTTTCGAGGTGCACGGGGTCCCAGGACCCCTTGGGACCCTTAGTGGGTTCGCCTCTCACTGCCCATGTACATATGTAGTTACACCCATGACTATGAGACACATTCACCCGCAAATTTTGCATAGATAAAATAAGACATACTTGTATTTTTTTTGTGGATCAGATTCACAGACAAAAAAAAGCTTCACAGAGGTGGATATAAAGGGTGGATACAACAAGCATCCTTGTATAAAATATAGTTTGTGACATTTTTATTCATGGAAATAACTTCGGATTAATAAAACTTACTACATGCTGACACATAAATCCACAGTAGATCGAACAAGCCAAGAAAGATCTAGCTTGCTTGAACTACACTTCACGGAATTGTACCAATGTAGCAGGCTTAGGGAAATTCAATTGCGAATTCCATAACCCTTGATCAAAGGAGAAATAGCTTGAATCTCATAGTAATGAAGTACGTAGTATATACACTACAAAAAAAACACGGAATTGGCAGTGATTTTTGGCAGAAATTTCCTGAAATTAGCAAAGATTTTGGCAGGGATATGCCAAATTCGTACAAAAAACAGTTTGGCACGAGCTATTTGGCACGAAATTATCAGAAAATCCATGCCAAATCTGTGCCATTTCCGTAATTTTTTTGTAGTGATAATTAATTAAGTATTTTAGTTCCTATTGCACGAGACAAAACTAACTTAGATAGATCAGATCAGATCTGAAAATTGAGAGTCCAAAAATCATACCCGAATGATCAGTAGACAACGTTGGAGATGATAAATTTAGCCCACGTTTCGAGCAATATTTGCATGAATGAATGATGAATTTGCCCTTATAGCTAGGCTCAAGGATGTGAGGTTTATTGCTTGTGAGAGATCTTAGTATGGACTCCTTAGCTCATCTATGCATCTCGTAACAAGGTTTAATACGAGTATGTTTCTTTTGTTCTACTACCACACAGTCTTTTTTGTTTGATTAACTATTTTATTCATTTATGTATTTTCTAGTGGAAGGCGATTTTCTATCGGGTCAATTCATTTGTCCATTTAAAGTCTCTTTTAGTGATAATAATCATTTTGTTTGAAATAATTATATCAATGATACAGACTGCAGAGTGTTTCTTACGGCGTCGATTCTTCTACGATGCGGCGGTTGACCTTAACATATTGAATAAATTGATGAAAAAAGTATTTAAATCTTCAGTTATTAATTTGCAAATAAGTATTCTCTTATGTTGATATTCACACTCTGATCAATTTACGATTACAAGATATGGTTCTTAATAATTATTTAGAATTATCTTAAGAAATTAAGAGATTGGAGATGCCCTATGTACCTCAATAAAAATATTAGAAATATTTTTGAAATAATGTGGATATTTTACATCCGAGAAAAACCGACAGATGGTCAATGTGTATTGAAGGCAAATGTGAAAAACTTATTTGCTCCATCTTTCTTAATTATTAATAAAACCAAGAAGACGAATTCCAAAAGCTTTTTTACATGACGTTTTGAGTAATTCCACGTTTCTTAATTATTAATAAACATAATTTACATTAATTATGTTTTGTCTAGTCTCAGTCTTTGAAGCTATTTTATCTAACCGGATATAACATATTGGTAAATGTGAAAAGGTCGACGAATGAAGCAACAGTAAAAGATGTTGAAAATGAAAAATTACTTTACAGAAAAGAAAGTAAAAAAGGAGGAAAATGTAAAATTGCTTTACACAAAGAAGATCGAACCTAAAGAGCCCTTAATAAAACACCTATAAACAATTTGATGGAGTTTAATTTACACCTCATGCTTAATTAACTGATACATACCGAGTCCAGGACCCTTGCTACATAACGTGATTTTTAAGGCCTTTTGACACACTAGCTTGTATGTAGTCTTATTACACACACACGAGGCCCTCAAAAATATACTCCTTCCGATCCTTATTAATGAAAGCTTACACTTTGATTTCATATATATTAAGGAAATAAATTTGACTTTACTCTAGAGTACACTCTTTGACATTGTTTTGCACTGTTTGGTGTAGATTTATTTGCCAAATAAGATAAATAAGGAAGTGTAAAGTTTAATATGGGACAACCCAAAAAGGAAAGTGTAAAGTTGATTAAGAACCGGAGGGAGTATATGATATGCACTAGTTTATAGTGAATAAATGTATGTTTTTATATTGATTTTGTGTAGATTTTCTATCATTATTAGTTAGTTTGTAAGCATTTGTTTTATTTTGTTTGTAATTGAATTTAGCTTTCATGTATAGTTGTAGAATAGTGGTAGTGTTTTTAGCAAGGAAAAGGAGAAAAAGCTGAAGATAAAAATGTCCATGAGCACAAAACCCGGTCGGGTCTGATTTGAAAACCGGATCCCTGGGGAAAGAGCTAGACCCGGTCGGGTCCCCTGCTTGACCCGGTCGGGTCAGATGTGACCCGGAACACCAGAACATGTCACAGATCATCAGAATGTGGAAAATATCCGATTTTGACCAAACCCGATCGGGTCAACTAAGCCACCCGGTCGGGTCTGACTTGACCCAGAACATTTTAACGTGCTGAAACACAATAATGTGGAAGATTATCTGATTTTGACCGGTACCCGGTCGGGTAAGTACTATACCCGGTCGGGTACCCGGCCAAAGGTGATGAAAAACACCTATAAATAGCACACTTTTTCTTCACAAATTTCCATCCCTTCTTCCATACTCTTAAGCTCAGTTTAGAATGGCAATTCTTTATATTTTTCTAGCTATGTTTAGTCTCCAAATGAGGAGCTAAACTTCCATTTCTTGGTTTTGCTCTTGAAGCTTGTTGATTATTAAAGTTGTGAGTTACTTTCTTAACTTCTTCTCTTCATTATTAATTCTTCCCTTAATCTCATTCTATATTAATGTTGGAGGGTTGCTAAGTGACGATTAGTTAACGTTCCGACATTAATTACTACTAGAAACGATCAATGAACCGATGGTTAATCGTTGATGGTTTCACAAGTAAGTAACTTCGGTTTATTAATGCACGGTCTAGGTTGATAAACTTAAGAGGGATTAATTTTGTTGGTTAAACCGAAACCGTTGTGTTGAGGTTATCAATCTCAATTGATTTCATTAATGAGTTAAGAGATTAAATGCTACTATTAAATCGGTATAAGCACTACAACAAAATAGGCCTTTTGTAACACCTACAAAATGTTGCATTACATAGTTAACATGTTACAAAAGCCTTATGTAACACTTGTATTAGCGTTACTTCAGGTCTCGTTGCATAAAGTCATATACAACATTTTTTACTATATTATGCAACGTTTAATAAAAATGTTACATAAACTACTCTAATGCAACACTTTTACACGAGAAATTTAGCACCATCTTATGCAACAC